TGGATGTTGTCCTGCTGATCCCGGGTCAGCTGGCAGCAGATCAGAAGGAGGCGAGCCAAATATGTTACCTACAGTCGAGGACACGGACTCCATCAGAAAGCATTACTCACTGCAACCTTTATTTAAATCTACATTCAACCAGTTATATGCTCTTTATTGACTGTGGACGGCCACAGGTCCAAGTCTGAGCAGACTGACGTTCAACACTAATACAAACGATCCAGCTGTTTAAAAGGAGCTTTATACTGTTTGTATGTTTCATCACTACAAATACGTAAAAGCTCATTTTGGTTGTGTATCTCGTGTGATTTCAAAGATGTCGGAGCAATAAAACAGCAGGTTCCTCTCTAACATCAGAGCTAGCGTCACTGTGGCTGCTTAAGGTAACGTTCTGCTTGTTGATCATTTTGGCGTTCATTTGGCTAAAGATCAGTCTGTGCAGGAAAGGCCCTGGTGGCAGTTCAGTGTGATTATCGGGGTGGTGATGGTGGTGATGATGAAGCTCGTGCTCTGTCATTAGCCCTGTCAGCCTGTCAGTATTTAGCCCAGTGACTTACCCAGATTAGCCAGCTTAGCTAACGCACTGCAGCGCTGCAGCTTAGCGTGCTAACTGCTGCAGCTTAGCGTGCTAACTGCAGCAGCGGCTCTATTTCTGGTTCTGTCTCACTTTCAGCTCTGAACTCACCACATGTCGGACATGTTAGTGACACCGCTCAGCACAGAGGGATGTTCTACCTGTCTCACCTGGTTCTGTCTGTCTCACTCTCGGGCCGTTCCTTGTTGATTCTGAACCATAATGCAAAGATGTCCTTCACTTCTAGAAGTTTTAAACATTGTTTGTACTTTATTTCTGTATAGACTTTTTCTTTATCGCGTTTCAGAGGAGAATAAAAAAACAAAAAAGCATTTAAATGAACTGAGAAAATAATAATAATGGTCTTATAACAAAACCTATAAACCTCTGTGTTGTAAAATCATTCTTAGAGTCCAGATACTTTCTGATAGATAGTTGTGTTCTTATTCTTATGTTTGACAGATGTTCAGTTGCAGTGTCTTTTTAGAATGATTTTAACTTAAAATATAAACTAAATCATTTATTTTACCCAAAAAATGTAGTTCGCAGCACCTTTTTCCGCCCTGAGTGCAGTCTGCAGGCATTGGTTTCAGGTTGCATAAGATGAGATGATAAGATAAGATAAGATGTACTTTTATTGATCTCCCTCAGGAGAAATTCAGAACGGACGCAGCAGCAGAGGGAATGTAGTGCAAAAGAAAGAGTACAGTACATACTGACCCAATAAGATGCTAATGGCTAAACTCGTTGCTCTGAGCGCACATTAATTAACTGACAGTGTCTCTAATGAGAGCATCAACACTTTTATCTCTCGTCTCACCTGGACTGATGAGTGGACAGTCGGAGGACAACGTTCAGACTAGTGATGGGAATTCTGGTTCTTTTTAGTGAGCCAGATCATTTGGCTCAGCTTACCAAGAAGAGCCGGCTCTTTCCGCTCCCAAACGACTCTTCATTTTATCACTTATACCTTTTATAATTCAGCCAAATTCAGCACTGTTTTGACTTTTGATTTGTATGTGTACACATATATCACTTAAATTATTAAATACATTCTTTGTACTGAAGTATTCAAAAGTAAAAATTACATTTTCTAATATCAATAAATTGCTGTAGCCAATTGTTTTCATTCAATTTACAGACCTTTGTAACTCTCTGAAACACCCAATGATTGCAACATCTTGCTTGTAGAATCATTCTGCTATACAAAGCAGATAGCAACACCTGCAAAAACATGAGCATATAAATCTAAAAAAAGGACACACACAGCCCTAACAAAACAAGGAAAGTACTGAAAAAAGTAAATTAAATACAGGACTCAAGTAGATGTGAACTACATGCATGGACCACCCGTAGCGCAGAGATCATCATATCATTCTGCCTTGTATTACTTAACAAAAAAATAAAAAAAATAAAAAAACGGCTCGCGGACGGGAGCTGGCTCCCATCATTCACTTAAAATAGAAATTATTTCCCCCTGGAAATTTAAATGCATTCATGCAAAACTTTGATTTAGATTTTTCACCTAAAACAAGCAGAGGATGTTGGGTAGTTTTTTTGTTTTTTGTTTTCCAGCCCTGGTTAGTGTCTGCATAGCCGCCCCCCCCCCACTCATAATTAAAATAAAATAACAGGGTTTTGCATGCACAGTTAGAAAATAAGAGAGCGGGTTCCGAGCCTTGTTGTGAACAACATAGATTATATGAAATAATGATTTGAAAATTATACAGAAACTGCTGTTTG